CAAATTTCCGTGGTGCTTGGCGACTTGGCTTCACCCAGTTGTACAGTCTCTTCTTTGTGCCTTTAGGCTTAAGTCATTCTGTCTCCTGCAGTAATTCACCGAGGGAAGTGGAAACTATCATTTTTTCTTCACCTCTTATAATATATTCTGATTCATTTCGTTGCGGTGTTTTCATGGTTGTGTCTACTGTAGTTCCTGGCTTATAGGAGTTGAACCGGTTTAGGGAGGATTTGGCGGGATTGTCCAAAATAAAAATACGGTAGTATAATAGAAGAGTTTTTAATATACCTACATTAATATACCTGATTCTGGTATACTGCCTGCCAAGCGTGAAGGTTATGGCGAACCTTCCTTTTGTGTAGAGGAGCCTCATAGTCCTGTAGTGGAGTATGACGGACTGTTGATGAATAAAATAAATTACAGAGTACTATGTTTACGTCTGCTAAAAAAAATTAAAATGGGAAAAGGGTTAAAAAAATTAAACAAACAAGTATCTTACACCTTCATTTTATTTACAAATTACGAACAATTTTAACATTAAAAAATATATTTAAGTGGTGTTCTAAAATTACTGAATTTGAGCAAAAAATCGCTGACTTGGCCCAAACGTTGAACTTGGCCAAGATTTACTAAATTTACAGTTACTTGGCTGTTACATTTCGCCAACATTACAATAATGGATACGTAGTAAAAGGAAAAAAAATGGCCAAGGAATGTTGAACTTGGCCACGTTTTCGAGTCACATTAAAGTCAAGTTTGTATGAACTTGGCTAAGTATACATAACAATATTCTTGGTCAAGTCCTAAGTCTTTTCAATGGCGGCACCGCTTGTCATAATTATGTGTCATAAGTCAAGTTTACAAAAACACATTTTTAATACCATACAGGAACCATTTTTGAAATAGTCTTAAACTTTTATGCACCAAATAATAATATCTTATTCATAATTTAACATTTCAGTAAATCGGAGTAAGTGTGGAAACAAAACATAGTATTTTTTATAAAAATTGAAATTGAATAATTCAAATGCCTTTGTTAGGAAAGATTGTATATATTTTACGTTTAAAAATATGTGTGTAGAAAGGAATGAGCTTTAAGAATTCCTTTTTACAATTTTTGGAATGTTTAAGATAAATCTTTAGGTATTGAATTACTTTAATTATGGAATGTAGAGTATTTATGGAAGACCCTAACTATTTAAAATAAACGCACGAAAACCTGCTATACCAAATAATTTCTAGTAGATTTTAGTGGCATTAAGCAATTAGTGCCGCCCGTGGATGCGACGGATACTAATGAGCACAATTGGTACAGTTTTAACAGGATTTTTCTTTGATATTAGCGCCTTTTAATAGTATTCAATTAGCACCATGTCTCTTTCTTCAAGTTTTGAATCTCTTTAGTCGAGACAAATACATACAATTTCAGAAAGACACTCTCAATTTGACTATACTACGTTTCCATCTCTTTCTAACTATTGAAAAGACAATAGTCAGAAAGGGACAAGTATATAATAGAAAAATCATCCATGTCAATAAAAGTCAGACCTTATCACTACTATCAATTAAGTTTCATTTAGCTGAACTGACAGATTTCTAATGGAAGACATGTCAAAATCATCTGCCAATTAGACTAACGAAAACTTAACTAAATGTGATGAAAGCCTTACCATTTTCCCCAACACTCCTAAACCATCTCTTAACTAAGAGTTACTCAGCTCGAGGGAGCACTTACAAACCCCTTGTTTTGTCAGGTGTCACTTATAGGTTGATGAAAACTGAAATGTCATTAAGTGTCACCTATCTGAGCTTAGGGGTCCTTAAAATTTAGGATAGGTTGGTGAAAATGAGTGTTAGTCTTTTCCAATAAGGCATAGCTGCCTTTTATGAAGTCATAATAAGTAGATATATGAAAAATAATTATTCATGATATTTTGTCATTCAAAAATCTAAGCTTGCAAAATACAAACTTGGCATACATCTAGCCAAGTATTTACGAATATTTTGTTCTCATTAAAACATTTTTTTATCAAATTTTCGTTCTCTTGGCCAAGGACCGCTACAAAAACTTGGCCAAGTTCTTTCAAAATTTCATAGTTAGGTATATACATTTGCCCACTCAGAAAAAAACCTTAAAAAAATATAGAAACCGCTCCTTTTATATAAAAACTATAAGAAACATTTATAATTGGTAAAAAATATACTAAACTAAGAAACTATGGACGGACCCATGAGTAATAGACTAGCGACTATCGGTAAATTACTTTTTTTTATTAAAAATATATTTCTCTATACTTTACACTAAGATTTTATCGATACATCGACTAATTAACTATGACCAAACGCGTATCAAGCTAACCGAAATAATTCAATACATTTTTAACTTTATTCCGTTTAAAATAAGATTAAAAAACTATTGAATAACATTCACAGTTTAGTATACTTTGACATGCCCATGTCAAGGTAATAAATGAAATTAAAAATATCGAATTTAATAGTCGATTAAGTATCGATAAATTCATAGTTTCAAACATAAACACCTGCCTTATTTTTTAAACCGATACATATGATTTTTAATGGCAACCCGACGCCCAGAGGATTAAAAATAAAATAATAATGTTGATTTACCTTCAGCTATGATAATGGCTACAAATTATTTGTAGACTTTTTAACATTAAACCATTTTTACAACCATTTACACTTTTTTCCCAGTTATATCAATATTCCAAAGTTCAATAAATTAAAAAAATATGTCAACTTTTACAATTTTTTTTCTACAACAATTGTCGAAAACATGTAGACAATCCGGAAATTGTCTACAAAAGAATTTGTAGCCATAAATCGTAGCCTAAGCCAACGTCACCGATGAATATTTACAGTTAAAAATACAGTCAAAATCATAATTAAGTAAATGTCAACCAAACACGTCTAAAAATTTTCAATAATTATAAAAAATGTCAGTTTGAAAAATAGTCATACTGTAAATTCCGGTTTGATCCTAGAGGATAATTTTGATCCAAACTTTTAAACCAATGAAAAACTAATATACGCTTTGTTCTGGATTACTATTGATTAACGAGGTTGGATCAATGTTACCCCATATAGGGACAAAATAACCCGGGTTTGGATCAAAATTACCACAGAAGATAAAATTGGCCCGAACTTAAAAAATGTTTGTTCAATATTTTACTAATTTATTTCAATTAATATGAAAAAATAAAACTTGAAATATTGCTTATCACAATTGAAGACTAATGTGTAGTCATATAGAAGTTTAAAAAAACATTCAGAATTGAAGGCATTACATAAATAAATTAAAAAAAAAATAATTTGAAATAACGACAACAATAGATTTGAATAAAACTGTGTTGCCACAATTATTTAAAAACTGTCTTAGTCGATTTAATTCACAAACTCGATTTAAAATATAATTTATTTTTATTATGGAATTTAAACTTCGAATTTATTTCTAATTTAATGAATTCTTTACGACTGAAATTCAATTGTGGGACATGCACGATTTTTTCTAAAATTACTATTAAAAATGCCTTCAATTCAAAATATCTAACTTATAAGATAAGGTGGTATAATAGTAACCGCAAATGCTCCATAAAAACTACAAAATAATCGTATTTTTGAACGTAGACCACGCACTTGCGACTAAGTCGCACGATTAAGCATAAAGTCATTAATACGAAGAAAAATATTTCAAAAATATTTACAGTTCAATAAGGAATAGATTAAAAAATAAAGTGTCAAAATCGCGCGAACGAATCACAAGTGCGCGGGCTGCTTTAATAACAGTGTTGCTATATGAAAAAAATAAAATAAAAAATACGTAAAATTAAATTATATAATATTGTCTATTCGATGTCGGTATATACCCATTACTTTATAGTCTTTTTTTAGGATGAATGGAGTTCTTTAATATTGTAAATAAATATGTATTCAAAAAACTTAATTTTCGCTCAATTATCCAATTTCCTACAAGGTTGGCAACACACTCGTGTTACAGTTGTACAGCTTAGCAAAAAGAGTTTGGAATAATAGAGGTCGCTAGCATCGTACCTGTGGCAACCTGGTACACTACGACTCAACCGGTTTTGCTCATTTTTATCGAGTTTAAAAAGACTATTTTTGGATGATTGTATATTTATGAAATATATGGTCCATATGAGTCCCATGTTAGTAGGCTGAGGCTATTTCCATACACCGAATTTTTCCTAAGTAACTTATAAAAATATGTGTATCTCTCTGCGTTTTGTTCGCTAGATTGAAGGCCGTAGAGAATTTTTACAACTGATTCCTTTGAATGTTTGTTATCAACACTTTGAATATAATTGTTTTTTTAATTATATCATTTACAATATCAAAGAAAACAATACAAGAACTATTAAAGCAATGGTATTTCAAAAAGTAACTGCCTTAAGACCGGAAGTCGCCATATTGAAATAGTTTTTGGCCTGGCAACACTGTAATATAGATTAAAAATACTTTGTGACTACAGATTATAAAATCTAAATATAAAAACTAAGTAAGTAGGTATTTTAGCTATATCTTTTATACTCGTGTATAAGAACCATTTTTTTACTTACCTCCAATTTATAAATGAGATTCGATTCCAGGGCAAGACAAAAAATGACTTTAGGCACGAATATAAAACAAAACTTAGTCTTAAGACAGTTTTCTTTCAAAGAGAATTTCCAAAAAGCTGATAACTGTCGGCACCTTATAGAAAACCATTCGAGCAATGTAAAAAAAGAATATGAAAATAGAAGTCAACATATTTAAACACCAAGTTAAACTACAAAACAACCAATTCCTTCGATACATTACCTAAACAAAAAATCAAAATTTACAACATTGCACACAACCTTTGACAGCTGACAGCTATGCCAGCTGTCAAACCTGACGTTGACGTTAATGACATATTTACCGAGCTGATCAGAAATTCTTGTAATATTACAAAATAGGTAATTAATAGATGCTTAGATTATAGATTATCTTCGACTATTTAGTTCGTAGCCGTTGTCTTTGCTCGGGGTTTTAGCCGGCGGCGGTTTCGCTACCACGTGTCCTTCTAGTCTTAACGTACTTTGGCGGTGGGAGGATCTGTAAAAGAAGAACAATAGTAGATAACAAATACACACAAAATATTAAACAGTTATACAGTTTAAGGACCTCTATTCTGCCAATTAAGCCCTTTCATTTAATATCCTTAATGAAGGCAGTTGTGGAACATTAGATCATATGGAAAATATCAGATCGATCTGTCGCTGGGAAAGGGGGTGAAATTACAATTACTAGACCTAAACAAACACGAGTCAAGTTTAATGGAACTTTACTCATTTCGACCGTTGGTGGCTGGTCTAAAAAGAAGGAACTGCAATGCTGCGCACAAAAGAGTTATAAGACCAGCAAAACACTTCTAATTTATCTGCTGTTGCCATGGGCGGCGCTGATTGCTTACAATCAGGTGATCCGTCTACTCGTTTATCCCCTATAAATAGCAATACGTTACCTGATAAGACAGGTGACAGCGAGCAGTATGAGCAGTAGTCCGAGCGCGGACAGTCCCCAGCCGAGTGTACTGCGCGCCAGCGGGGGCACCTGCGTCGCCAGCCGGAGCAGGGAGCGGACCTGCTCAGGGAGCTCGTCGATACCCTGCGGAGAGACGTGAGGAGGTTAATGAGACAAATGGAACAAATAAATAAGTGATTAAGGATAAAAAAGATGGTGAAATTGGCTGAGAAATAATGGTTATGGAGAAGAACAAAGTATAATTTCGTAATTTTATTACATCTGAAAATAATTTATGAATGAAGGATCTATATCAAGGACTAATCAAGGCAAGAAAAAACGTACGCACAATCATAACAAATATAAAAGATATCATACAAATCGTAGCAACAAAGAATATGTCCACGTTTTTATGCAAGTAAAGTCAGCTAAAACATAATTTATTCGATCGTAAACTAACCAAGATAAATCGAAGCATAAAATTATACCTCTAATATCTGTATACGCGATAAAAAAATTCAAAGCTAAAACCATTAATGATCTGCTTACCTCTTCGAACCACAGAATAGGGAACACAATATCGGGGAAGTTGGCGACCTGCTTGATGTCTACCACCTGCGACACGGCCAAGTTGATCTGAATACGGGCGCGAGCTCTCATCGCGATACCCATCTCCTAAACATGGAAAATATTCATAATTAGTTTAATTCATAATTATGTAATTCTAAAATTGATTGAAAAAGAAATGTATCTCCACATTAAAATTGTCTCGTGTATCGGGTGTGCGGTTACAAAAATACGAATTCAAACACATCACCAACCCAGAACAACAGTTTGTGGATCACGCAAAGAGTTGTTTATTGCGGGCATCGAACGCACCACACGTTGTAAACCACACACAGCTTTCAGTTGCTAAGGTACTGTGCCAACCATGGAATTAAACCTTGTGTCTAGCGGAAAATTTTTCAGAGCTAAGTTTATAAACGCAAATTTTATACAATTCCGGGTATTCTTAAGATGTTTAAAAACACCCGGTAGCATTATCTGCATACCTATCATACAATTATTTGTTTAGTGTGGGAATCAAACCAATGAATATGCAAAAAAATAAATTATAATGATATACAGTTTTATTAAAAGATGGTGAACATTATAAAATAGTATTATTCGACTCTACGAAAGCGTTTGACACTATCACTATCCCAACATTGAAGAATTATCCAGGTACAGCTTCAGTATTTTGTAATAAAATTAAATTAATTCAAGTTCTATTGACAAACAAGTCACGAACTATATGCGCGAGACACTGCTGAATTAATCCACAAAACAAACTATTTGGGAGTACCACAGGGCAGTATCCTCGGTCCACTCTCATTTACAAAAGAATTATAAAACACTTACCGGTTGAACGTCGATGTAAAGTCTGTGTTTCTCTGGGATGGGTGGGCTGATGCCCTCCACGGCCTCACGGAGGCTAGGGTCAGCCAGGTAGAAGTGAGGGAACGATAGCATGATGGGTGAGTCTGGAAGAAATAGACATGAAATATAATGACTGCTTAGTTACACTACATCCGTATTAGATATGGCTCCTTTGTGTAAAAAAACTAACGGCATTAAACCGTGCCGACATCTTTGATATTGAAAATGGAGTTTTTTATTACAATGAAATTAAATGATTCAATAACACGCTTCGACATGCCGGCTGCCTCAACCATCATGATGCCATATCACATAAAATCAACAAAATAACGCTAGCGTTGTTTGCTGCCCGTGAAGTCACCAGAGGCCTAAATCCCAAAATCCCGGACACACTAGAGTAACGCATTCGTAACTCCTCTAGTGTGTCTGGTGTCCATAGGTGTCCACGCTGAATGCTTACCATCAGGTGATCCGTCGACTCATTTACCGCCCTATACGAATGCAAAACAATTTCTCAAAAATATGAAAATTCAACCTTACCATATTGACAAAGCGATACGTTGAAGAGTCCGTTTGGTGCACAGGGAGGTCCAGCGGGACAGAAGCAGCGGTTGTGCTCATCATTGGCGAAGACATCTTCAGGAGGAGTGTATCTGTAGCCCTGAATACCATCTATCGCCACCTCTTCGAGGAATCTGGAAAATATTAAAAGATATTAGAAGAGAAGTAATCTTAATGAACTTGTGTATATGAATATCTTCTGACGACATGAGGCAAGAGAGTATCAGACTCTTACTGACTAAACACCACCACGTTCCTACTTCTGCATAGAACCGGAGCCAAGGTAACCGCTAGGTTGTCCGCAGCCCTGGTTGTTTCTACACTTAGTAAGCCGATTAAAAAATGGTTCAAGCTAGAATGAAGCCCAATCAATCCTAAAAATATAGATAGCGTCTATTCTCTAAAGGAGGTACTTTAGCAAAAATCATTTGATAAATCTTTAAAAAAAATTTTTTTTTTGGAATAGGAGGCAAACGAGCAGACGGATCACCTGATGGTAAGCGATCAGCGTTGCCTAAGGACACTCACAACACCAGGGGAGTCACAGGTGCGTTGCCAGTCTACTAAAAAGGAATACGCTCTTTCCTTGAAGGTTTGAAGGTGGTATCGGTTCGGAAATACCGCCGACGACTGATAATTTAGGCGTTAGTGTTACAGAGTCGAGAATAATACCTGACAACCTTTAACTCCTCCTTAAATAACAGAACACACCTCATACAGAACATACTAAATCCCCCCCATATAACTGAACGTTGAAACCAAAACAGACAATCGGCAACAATCAACCGAGCATTGTTTAAAGTCAAACTATCGGTGTAACCAAAACAATTGCATGTCGGTCGGTCACATTACACACTGACTACTGACTAACCGTTGCATAACACACAGCACGCACACACACATCGAACTACACAAGACCAATACAAACTGACCGTTGAACGTGCTAAAGATCACCACAACGCGAGACCATAATAAAGTGATTTTAATAGCCCGATGTGAAACGAATCCAGTATAAACTGATCGTTGAATGTGCCAAAGATCCATACAAAGCACGACCAAGATAATCTGGTTGTGTGTAGCTTAATTTGTAGATATGGAATCAATCGATTTAATATTTATTATGACATAGTTTCTATATCAGTTCAATGTCAGAGTTAACTGTTTTGACATTATTAATAGCCAATGAAACTTGACAGCCCACTCCGCTCAAACTGTTGTGGTTCTTTCCTCAAAAGGCCACTACAGAAAGAACTTGCACGGTTCTCACACATAATCCTTTATACATATTTGTCCGGACTTTAAAAGAGACGGACCTCTGAGTTTGTTTCGGCATTTCTTCTCAGTTAGGAAATGTCGACCTCATCGTTCACTTGATAAAATTGACGTGTAAAAGTGCTGCCTTGTAGCCTATTTGCTTCAAGGCAGCTTTTACTGTTGAAGTATCAGCCAATAAGAGGGGTTTGCCATAATCTCCGCAGGCAGGGTTAAAAGGTTCAGGTTTATCAGAGAGCGCTGTTGCCCGGTTTCTGTCAAACGCATGGTTCCTCAGTCACTTAGACTCTTACAACACCCGCGGTGAAGTGCGGTTGGTGGCAACTGTATTTTACTTTGCTGTATCCTCATGGCTGATGACGTTGTTAGGAGTGTTAGAATCTCGTTTCGGTAATTTTTCCTTCTATTAGGGCATCCTAAATTATTTAAGCAAGCTACATGATAGTTTTCTGCGAGCATTAGCTTCGGAAGTGTTTCTATTAAATTCAAAGGGTATATCCTCAATGAAACCACACTAATATTATAAATGGGAAAGTTTCTTTGTTTGTATGTGTGCCCGTCAATCACGCTGAAACTACTAGATGGATTTTGATAAAATTTGTATACAGGCAGGGTATGGGCTGACTTAGGTGATAGGATATTTTTGTCCCGATTAAACGCTCCCATGGGATGAAACAGGAATCATATTCTACACGGACGAAGTCGCAAACAGCTGGTGGTATCATAAAACAATTGACATAGAGAGGTATTATATACCTGCAAAAATTCTCCTGAAGTACCAAACGGATATTTGCACAATTTTTATCAAAGTTCTGTGTATAATTTATATCAGTTTTACCACATGACAAGCTAATCATCAACAGCCTATAAATGCCCACTGCTGAGCAAAGCCTCTTCTCACACGGAGAAGGTTAGAGCATTAATCACCACGCTTGCTCAATGCGGGTTGGCGATTTCAAACTTATAATTAGAAATTATAAGTCCAGGTTTCCTCACGATGTTTTTCCTTCACCGTTTGTCAGTGGTGTCTAAATAATCTTAGAAAGTACATATAACTCGGAAAAAGTCACATTGGTACTTGCCGTTGGTAGGTTTCGAACCCGCACCCTCATGCATGAGAAGTGGGCGTCTTAAACCTCCGGGCCACCACGACCTGCTAATAGTGGGCAAAAAATACTTACTTCAAAGGCAGCAATCGGCAGAGATCCTTGTCATAGACAGCAAGAGTATCATTCATAGTGATGTGAGGGGGAAAGATGGAGCCGTCAGACCCTGCGATGCTGTTGCACGTGTCGCTGGTCCAGTGCTGCAGCTTGTCCTTCATGTTGTAGTGGCTGATGATGCCGTAGGTCGTCATGTCGTTGGCGCCGGTGAACATTGTTACTACGTCGCTGCTGGTGCCGTTTTTCTGTCGATTGGAGACAATTGGGGGTTAATGATGTGGTATATCATTTTAAGGTGTAGGTCTACTCTACAGGTAGGTAATTTATTGTTGGGTTTGTATACCAAATTGTTATTCATCAGACATGTGTGGTGTGGGACGACGTGTGGGAGAGCCATGCTTCGGCACGAATGGGCCGGCTCGACCGGTGTGATACCACGGCCGAGCAGAAAACCGCTTGCGTTGTGTTTCGTCGTGTGAATCAGGTTACCGGAGGCCCAATTACCCACCCTCCCCTTCCCCAATTCCTGAATCCCCAATGATCCTCAAACTCCTAATCCCCAAAAGGCCGGTAACGCACTTGTAACGCCTCTGGTGTTCCAGGTGTCCATGGGCTGCGCAGATTGCTTACCATCAGGTGATTCATCTGCTCGTTTACCGGCCAATGCCATAAAAAACATAATTTCTAGTCAATTTATCGAATTCTGTAATGCGTATATTGATCACAATAAAATTATCCTTTCGGGACAGTGTGTACTATAATTAGCAATTGACGACGTTTTGTATTGTAAAATAAGAATTAATAGGCTCCTTCCACTGTCAAAATTATTAATTAACTTACTGTCTACTGGATCACTGTTCCTGATCAGAATTTGAGAACCTGTAGAACTTGACAACCACAACAAAAGGATTTCACGGACTAGACTGCACGGTTGGTGCGGTGGCTAGGCTAGGATTCTCGCACGGAACAACACTTTGTGTGATCCACAAATTGTTGTTTCGGGTGTCATTGTGTATGTGAACTTGTATGTTTGTAAACGCACCCACGACACAGGAGAAAATCCTACTGTGGGGCAACGTTTTTATAAAATAGAAAAAGATTTCCCAATCAACTCATTGATACATGCACTTTTACAGACGCATTTGCAAGAACCAAGATGTCAAGCAATAATACCCCCAGCAACCGCTCATTAGCCTTAGAAACCCCAAAAATACGAACCATAAGTAGGTGTACTTACGCCATAAAACAGTCCAAACTCTTCATAAGGCAGCTTCTGTTCCTTAGGCACGACATCCTTGGCCAGCTTCAGGAGAGGATCTTCATAGCCCCACAGGAGCTGACCGACGGACACTTCGACGAACGGCTTGATTTTGAGGATGTCCATGATAGACGCCATGGCCAGTCGAAGGAATCGCGCGGCATGTTTCGATTGCGATGTTGCACTCTGAAAAAGAAGGGTATTTGTGGTTAGATTTTTGGAATATTGGTGTGTCATATGTCAATTTTAGACTTAATGGCAAGGTACTTTTGAAATTGACGGGATTCCCTTTCTCATCATCACTGTATAGTTATCTCGATTGATAAGTCAACAATCATTCATTACACAAGAATTAATAATTTAAAAGAACTAATTTATTTTCGTCGTAGTGGCCCGGAGGAAGACGCCCGCTTCTCATGCATGAGGGTGCGAGACCTAAACCTACTAACGACAAGTACCAATGTGACTTTTTCCGAGTTATATGTACTTTCTAAGATTATTTAGACACCACTAACAAACGGTGAAGGAAAAACATTCTGAGGAAACCTGGGCTTATAATTTCTAATTATAAGTTTTCCAACCCGCATTGAGCAAGCGTGGTGATTAATGCAATGAAGAGGCTTTGCTCAGCAGTGGGTATTTATAGGCTGTTGATGATGATGAATTTATTTTTTATTCAAGTTATAAATAAATGTGTACTATAGATTAGGCAAACGTTATAGAAATACGTATTTTAAGAATGACCTTAAACAATAATAACCTATACGTATAAAATAATACGGTTCATTTCAACATAAGTAATCCTTACTACATGAGTTTGTTTGTTTGTTCCACTTTCACACCGTAACTACTAAACCGATTGCTTTGAATTTTTGCAGACGTAAAATTAGAAGTCTGGATTATATAGTAGGGTACTTTTTATCCGGGAAAAATTTGATATTCCCGACGGAAAACAAAAGTATTGGTATAGATGGCGCTGTGTGTATTGGTATATGTCACATAGGCTTTGTGACGCGAGCGAAGCCGCGGGTAAAAGCTAGTAAGTAATAAGTAATACAATATAAACCCAACCTTCGCTTAGCAGTTACCTACACGACATGCACCAAGGTTCTTACTGCAGGAAGATCTCGACTGGTTAACCTCACAATAACTACGGTTTTAAAAGTATCATTAACTGACTTATTTAACGGTTCAGTAGTTAAAACACTATGATTTTATAGGCACTCGTTTTTGAGGGTTTTTTTTTTTTTGTAAGGGGGGAACATCATCGAATGGCTGCTCCCGCCTGGGTGAGGCGGAAGGGAGTGTCAGACTCTTACTGACTAAAAACCACCCCGTTCCTTCTCCTGCACGTCGAGCCGGAGCCCCGGTTATCCGTTAGGTTCTCCGCGACAGTTTTTGAGGGGTGGATATTATCGAATGACTTCTCCCGCCTGGGTGAGGCGAGAGGGGAATGTCAGAGTGTTATTGACTAAAATCCACCCTGTTCCTATTGCTGCCCTTCGAACCGGAGCCCCGGTAACCCGTTACGTCCTCATACTAGGAGGAATGCTGCTCATGAATATGAGCCTTAGCATGGCTTGAAACTAGTCGAGTTCCTCGTTAAATAGTTACGTGAGTGAGCGGAAAACATAATAATAAGTTATATTTATCAAATGACTTCTCCCGCAATGTGTGAGGCGAGAGGCCGTGTCAGACTAAATAAACTAGAAATCGTGGGTTACTCACGTGAATATACTGAGAAAAGCTCTACTAGTTTCGAACCACAGAGGGGTTCTTCCTCATAAGCAGCGTGCGCGGGCGCGGCGATGTCGCGCAGCCTACCTCTCAGTATATTCACGTGAGTAACCCGCGATTTTTAGTTAATTTAGTATGTCTCACGAAAGTTATTATAAAAACATAGTGTCAGACTCTTGCTATACACAACCACGTTCCTACTCCGATATTTTCTTTCACCGTTTGTCAGTGGTGTCTAGATAATCTTAGAAACTACATATAACTCGGAAAAAGTCACATTGGTACTCTTGCTGTTCATAAGTTTTGAAACCGCGCCCTCATGTATGCAATTTAATCGTTTATTGCCATACACCGGACGAAATTCCAGATTCCTTGTAGCAACAGAGTATTTCAAAGAGCCTAATAAAATGTTTATACCTAGATTTAATTAAAATTACTATCGCATATTACTTCTCATTACAATCATAATTAGTTGTGCCACGGTCACGTAGGCAAGCAATGTTTCCGCGTTTTTCGTGAAGAATTCGCATTCGACAAGATCTTATTATACAGACAGAAGGTTCAAGTTTAACTATAAACTTGTAACTTGAGTTCAAAGGGCAAGGTTTCACAAAACCTTACTAATATTATAAATATGAAAGTGAGTTTGTTTGTTTGTTCCACCTTCACGCCGTAAGTACTCAACCGATTGCTTTGAATTTTTGCAGACGTAAAGTTAAAAGTACGGATTCAATAATAGGCTACTTTTTATCCCGGAAAATTTTGATATTCCCGAGGAAAAACAAAAGAATTGGTATAGATGGCGCTGTGTGTATTGGTATATGTCACATAGGCTACTTTTATCCTTTTGTGACGCGAGCGAAGCCGCGGGTAAAAGCTAGTATATAATAACTTAACATTAAGTGTATAAATCGTCGAAGAATAGGAGTAGGAACGGGGTGGTGTTTATTCAGTACGAGTCTGACACTCTCTCGTCTCACTCACGACGGGATACGGTCTTAGGGCTCGTACACACAACTGATTAGCGACGTCGCATCGCAAAAATGTGCGAGCTCCCTCTACGCATCGCAAGAACTTGCGAATTGATTCGCATCGCGCATCAAAATCTTATCTTCCCAAAATCTTCTTTGTTTCTTTTTCCTGTATCTCCTAAGCAATAACAGAAGTGCACACTTCTTTTTACGATTCATGCCACGATCTAGTTTTCAATTTAAAATACGTTTAGTACGGTTGACGGTCGTCGAAGGAATGGTCACCCTGGGAGACGCCTTGTCGCACGAAATCGCATCGCAACAATTGGCATCGTAATTTTCTGCATTGCGAATTCGCATCGCATCGAAGTTTTGTGTACGAGCCCTTAGATGATTTCCCTTTGTATTTTGCCCTGAAAACGAAAATCATATTTCATATCATAATCATCTACAAGTATACAAAAATCTTCGCGGATTTTTAACCGACTTCAAAAAGGAAATAAAGGGGTTCTAAGTTTGACCTCTGTGTATATGTATACGTACATATGTATGTACGTTTATGCGCGTTTATGTCGCGATAGGCTTAACCATTATCAGAGAAGCTGTTTGTTACATTTAGAACAAGGTTTTAGTATAACTATCATATCAAAATTTGACTTAAAAAAAGAGAGGATTGAAATCGGACTTAAAAACGTAGTTTTTATAAAAGAATTATTATAAAGAAGAAAGAATGAGCAATAAATTACATGATTACTCATTTTACCTACGTAGTTTTTACTTCTATCTAAAATTACACGACTAGATTCTGCAATTTAAGTACCTACAACCATTTAGCAAGTCCGCCATGTTTAGCATATTGACACAAACGACGTAGAATTGACGTCAACGAACACATGTTTGTCATTTACAGTCTAAACAAGTTTTAGCTGTGATCCTATAAAACAGCTCATGTAGTGTAGACGTCCAGTCAACAAGGATGTAGCGAGGTTGACTGTCCAGGCGACACACGTACTTAGGTATCGTCATGAGCTAATGTTCACATGTAAACAGCAGCTCATGTAGTGTAGATGTCCAGTCAACAAGGATGTAGCGAGGTTGACTGGCCAGGCGACACACGTACTTAGGTATCGTCATTAAACCTAGTGCCTAATTCATCTAGATCAATATCTACCTATGTTCATAATACATAATAAGCTAGACTCGTTAAATTAGATTTTAAAACGCATTACGATAGAGAACATTCGATTATAATGGCTGACATACAAGTTTAAAATAATCAGTAATCACCAATAATGATAAAACCGATTAGAGGACATAAACTAGAAATAGTTACGTCATTTAACTCGTCGAGTACCGGTTTTATAGACACAATTAAAGAACAATAGGTCGCGGTCACCGGTGACCGCTTGGTGTTTGACAGTTTAATCACGCCTTTTAATCCAAACAGGATTGGACAGAGGTTAACAAAGAAAACCGCTATAAAGAACCGCTACTATTCCCGCGGGTGTCGTATACCCGACTAAGGTACTACACATTTGACAGAGACCGTGCAGCAGCGCTCTCTGATAAACCAGAACCTTTTATACTGCGGTCTCCAACCAGCCTGCTATGCGTGGAGACTAAAAAAACCTCTTATAAAGATGAAGGTCGGAGTCCAGTAGTGGAATGTGACCAGACTACTGAAGATGATGATAATGAAAACGATGCACCAAACACCCATTCTTGGCTAAAAACAATAAAACACAATATAACATAACATAACATCACGCCTTTTATCCCCGAAGGCAGAAGTGCACATTATACCACTGTACAATGTAACACCCACTTTTCACTATTTATGTTATGAGTCCCATGTAATAGGGGGTGAGCCTATTGCCATATACCGGGCACAATTTCAGATTCCATGCTACTACCCAGTAACTCTTTGCCCGACCCGGGAATCGAACCCGAGACCCCTTGCCCGGTAGTCGCACTTGCGACCACCCGGCCAATGAGGTAGTCAAATAAAAAACAATAAAAGTTCCATATAATAAGCCAAAAACATACACTCCGAGCTAACATGACCTATTCTGTCCAAGCCACAGATAAATTAAATAATTTCATTTTGACGTGACAACGTCTTATAAATTGGTTTGCCGGGTGACACTTCAAGAAACTGCGTTACGCTCCGCTCACGTTATGCGCTCACAATGAGAGAGAGTGAGAGGCACGCGTCCCTTCCACTCGGGCATGGTTAGCCCGCCTAAGAGCGAGAGAGACAGACATAAAAAGTGAAAGGCACGCGTCCCTTCCATTCGAGCACAGTTAGCCCGCCTGAGAGTGAGAGAGAGAGTGAGACACTCAAAGTCGTTGTCACGTAAAACTTTCGCCCGTATACCGACTTTACAGGCAACCAATTTTTTTTTAATATTTCTGTGGTCCAAGCCATACTGTGACGGTGCTGTTAAGATCTATGAGTTCGTATGTAGTTTGGACAGA